TCTCACATCTAGTCAATTTTCTTGAATCAAATTCGTTTTTTACATCTGCACAGCACGGTTTTCGCAAATCACTCTCATGCGAAACACAGTTAATATCTTTTACTCACAAGCTACATCGCATTTTAGACCAATCATCAAAAGCTGACTGTGTTTATTTAGAATTTTCCAAAGCCTTTGACAAGGTATGCCACAAGCTGCTACTACTCAAACTAAGCAAACTCCAACTTGATGACACCATAATGAAGTGGATTGTATGTTTCCTTAAAAATCGCTCGCGATTTGTTTCAGCTAATAATCATAACTCTTCACTCAGCCAGGTTTCCTCTGGTGTCCCCCAGGGATCTGTTCTTGGACCTCTTTTGTTTGTTATTTACATTAACGATCTGCCTTCTCTTAAATCCTCTAATGTTCATTTGTTTGCCGACGACTGCGTAATTTTTCGGGAAATAACTGCTGACAACGACTTCTACTCTCTCCAATCAGATCTAACTAGTGTAAGCAACTGGTGCAAAGAATGGTTAATGGAACTTAATGTCACTAAATGTAAAGTAATGCGTGTATCGAGAACTACTAGTTGTATGCCTATATATTACCTGAACAATACACCACTTGAAATCGTTTCCTCTTACAAGTACTTAGGTGTTCATATTACCAACAATTTAACTTGGACGAAACACATCGAATACATTATTAACAAGGCAAACCGCATGCTGGGTTATTTACGTCGAAACTTTTTTTCAGCTCCGTCTTCTTTAAAACTTTTTCTATACAAAACACTAATCAGATCAAAACTAGAGTACACAACACCAGTATAGGATCCTTGCCACGACAACTTACTCACCGCACTTGAACTTGTTCAGAATAATTCAGCCCGTTTCATTCTATCAAATTACAATAGAACGGCAAGTGTAACGGCAATGAAAAGTAGTATTGACCACCATCTTTAGCATCACGACGTCGCATTTTTCGCCTAACTTTATTTCATAAGGTTTATTACCATGCTTCTCTCCATGCTGAACTGCTTTCATAACCTCAGTACATATCATGTCGAATTGACCATAATCATAAAGCTGGAGTTGTTTCATCTAACACTAAACATTTTGCGGAGTCTTTCATTCCAAAAACATCCCGAGAGTGGAACCACCTTCCCGCCGATGTTGTTTCCATACGCGTTAATCACCTGTTTCATCAAGCAATAGCTAATATTGTATAATCAGGATAATCTATGTTTTTCTATTTAAACGCATGCTCTGTTTTTTCTATGTTTTGTACATCTTGTTACTCCCACTCCCCTCTTCAATGCCCATGGCCTTGAAGGTTTAATAAATAAATAAATAAAATAAATAAAATAATCTATGGTTCATGCGTGTGCATTATGCTCTCTAGTATTATCTTTGTTTTTTTCTGAAGTTAGTGTTATTATTTTTAGGTCTTTAAAATTTTTTTATTTCAATGTCGTTTCTGTGAATGTATGTATTTTGTGCTGCCCTCCTGCGTGGACCCAATTAAGGTGTGCCGTATTGTGTAAATAAATAAAAATAAAAAAGGCATAGACGAAAAGTCGAAGAAGATATCACGATGCCATTTATGTCGCAATCATCCTATCTACAGGCTCTTAAGTCCATGGTACATAGCTCTGACATAGTTTTACATAAACCCTGACGCTTTTTTTCTTCCATATAATCACGTATTCATGTTTTTGCTAGTTATTTAAATATAGTGCTGCTGTGCTTGTATGAACTTGTTGTACTCTTCTTTTGCTGTTATTATCGCCACATTGCCTCATATGTGTTTATTGGAACCCTTTTTTCTACTCATTTGTACTCACTCCTGCTTAAGGTGTGAAGATCAGACCGGCAGTACTGTAATAAATAAATAAATAAATAAATAACGTAAGCAGTTTTCCACTTAAGGCCACTAAGATCGGTATCTATGATACGCTCAAACATTGCTTGATAGTCACATTTATTGGCGTTAAATTTAACTGTCGCGTGTTGAAAAGGCCGTCTTGTCCATGTCCGCTTCGTGCATAGGTATTTGCAAATACTCTGAGCGGAGATCAAGGCTTGAGAAATATTCAGCATCCTTAAGTGAGTCCAGCACATCATTGGTTCATGGCATCAGATATACGTCTTCGCGCGTGATAGAAGTAAGTGCTCGATAATTGAAACGAAATCGTACGGAGGCGTCCTTTATTTCGGATCAGCACCATGGGTGAAGACCAATAACTGGACGATGGCCGAATGATATCGTGTTTCAGCTTGTCAGTGACGTTGTCCTCGTTGATCTGGCACTTTGAAGACCACATGCGGTAAGCGGGGTGGCGTACAGTCAAATTGTGCTCTGCTTCGATGCGGTTCACTGTGACAGAAGGGCGCCCAAGAAGCTTGGAGTAGACGTCAAAGGAATCACTGGGTTTCAAGTAGAGCTAAGGCAGCTTCCTTTTGCTCTGCAGGGAGATTGATTATTGATGGTGGCAGTTAATGCTGTGGTCGTCGCATGGTCAACATTGGTAGTTGGAGGCAAAGGTGCACTTGTGTTAAAGGGCATCAGGGCAAGAGATTTGATGTCAGCAAAACAGGGCACAACGGTACCCTGGGAGAGAACAAGTGGATGCAATGTAGGGTTACGAGCAGTGCCCAACGCTGTGTTGTCATGAAATTTGGCCAAACTAGGCGCAATAGCAATGCCACCAGAGAGCCATCAATTGCAGGATGCGAGAGACACATCACCGTAAAGGATAGTATTGGACGTCAACGTCAGAACATGCTCGTTGCCAGGTGGAATGGAACAGTCAGCCACCATGACGAAATGCAGTTTGCGAGTGTCGTCATAAGATGAAAGTTCTGTGTTCATCATTTGAACAACTCGCTGATGGCAAGATATCACGGCCGACGCTCAAAACCTAAAGACCCATTCTAGTAAGTTCGTGGGTACATGACGACAGAACGAGAGCCTGAATGTAATAAGTATGCCATCGATGTTCTCGCGCAGTACATGCACCAATGGGCTCAACACGTACGGTATTGGCACAGCAAAGGGGAAATTCAGTATACGGCATTTTTACTTTTCGCAAGCAAGCCCAAAGTTCATTATTAATAACGCGAAACGCTGTATCCTCGTCTATCAATGCTCGGGTCCATATTTTATCACCGCAAACAGAACACTTGAGAACCGTTGTGGAGGAGTTGGACGTTGCCTGAAAGATACAGCTTTCCTTCCGGAAGCTGCACCATTTAGTGATCCGGGCAATGGCCTGAGGTCACCGTAGCTGACAGAAGGGGAGAAGAGAGTGGCGCATTAGTGATGGAGAGCGGCGAAGCGGGAATTGACAACCACCGGATTCATCAACGCTATACGGAGACAGCGAGCAGTGTTCGTAGCATTGCTAGAATGGACCATGTTGTGAAACTACTGCACGAATCTATTCTCGTTTATAGTAATCGTAAGCGCGTCTCTCAAGCTGTTGACGACGTCGAGAAAACCTGAAAATATTTTCGTCATGAACACCTGAAAACAGTAGCAGACTGCACTAGGTGGGCGCCAGGCGTTGGAAGGTTGGAAGGCGGACGCGAGATTCGCGTGGTCACATCGTGAAGCGCGTGAAGTGGTTGCTGGCAAGGTGACACGAGCGCTGCCACCTCTGCATAGGTTGGCGTCGGTACTGGGTCTCGTCCGGGAGTTCCCGCACACGTCATACCAACAAGTTCTTTTCTAACAATGTTGCAGACGCTGGTGCCAGGAAACGCCATACGGAGCTCAAATGGGTGGAAGTAGCTTGCGCTTGTAGTTCCTCGCGTGTGATGGAACGAGTCAGCGTTCGTAGGTCACTGTTATTGTGTACGTTAAACGCCAGCTCGGGCGATATTTCAAGGTCAATAAATCAATTGGCTACGTTTATATGCACGTTTGTATCGTTCGTGCCAAATGGCAAGCTTGAGAATACCGCAGATAATTTTCAAATGTATTTTATACCTTGCCTCGAAGCACCCACCTCACTCGCCAGAATAATGGCAACACTGAGCGTGGGACGTTGAGTTATGCCTGGCGTAAGTGACGAAGCTGATGTGCCACTAGAGCATCTGCTTGCGTGCTACAGATTGTGTGGGTTTGGCTGGCGCTTCCTTAGTTGAAGGTGTCATTTTCTTTTGCGTGGTGGTGGGCATTCGATAGGTGGCAAGTGGTGTTGCGTTGGGAGCCACACTAGATTCGAATTATATTCAATATACCAGCGTAAGCGTTTTAGCTGATTACGGCATACGGCGTAAATAGGTAATGCAATCTGTTAGGCATTATGCGTCATTAGGCAGGTTCTGGAAAATGATTATAACACACGTAGAAGGGCACTTGGTTGGCTTTTGGTTTAGCTATATCAAAAATTATTTTCAAAATTGTTGAGCATTTCACCTATTTGGCGCGTTACCTACGATCCTGCTAGCGATAACGCTAGAACATTTAAAGGCAAGACTATACATGCCGACGCGCTTCGCCGCTTTTGATTGACGGCCGACGCTCTGCCCGCCGCTATCAGTGCCATTGCCTCACTGTAATCCTACTTATCAATTGTTGGCCACAAGGTCGCCCCGAATAAACAGTTTGATCTTCGACCTACTGTCTGCTGCCTTCGTCGTTGTCACGACCCCGTGACATCTGGTGGAGGTGCTTCCCGATCCATGAGCCGCACGCCCTCTTCCAGCCGTGACCAAGTCCACGTAGTAGAGAAAAATCGACGCCAACCACGGCCAACGATACCAGCGAGTGAGCCATAGGCGACAAGGTCTACCACCGGAGTACGGGCCTTTACCCAATACGACTCACACGTCCACCATGACAACCACTGCGGCAATGATGACTGCCGCTGCGCCACTGCCTGCGGCTATTGTGATGCACCCACCTTGAGAGCCACCGAGCTTTCATGGAGCACCTAATAAAGACCCAGAAACCTAGCTCGAGACATACGACTTAGTCACCACCTTGAACAGCTGGGACACCGAAGAAAAATGCGCCGCGTAAACTGCTACCTAGTAGACGCCGCAAAGACATGGTTCGAGAACCGGGAGTCCACGCTGCAAAGCTGGGATGTTTTTAGGACGACGTTCCTCCGCACGTTCACGAGCTTCGTCCACAAGGAACGTGCTGCGACTATCTTGGAGACGCGTGTGCAACTCCCCAACAAGAACATCACAGTCTTCGTCAAGGAGATGACCCAGTTGTTCCACCACGCTGACTCCGCCAAGGCCGAGGACGAGAAGGTCCGTTCCGTTATGCGAAGTGTTAAAGAAGAGTTCTTTGTAGAGCTTTTGCGCAACCCGTCGAAGACGGACGAATAATTCCTCACCTAGGCCATAACAATCTAGAAGATATTAGAAATGTGCACAAGCCAGTACAATCACCGCTCTTCAGCAGTACACTACACCGAGGCTCATGCCCTCAGCAACGATGACTTGCACGAGGCAATCCGAGCGATTGTGAAAGAAGAGCTGCGCAAGCTATTATTTTCACCACAGCCTCAAGGTAATTCTATCTTCGACTTTCTGCGAGAAGTTCGACAATCGCTTCGAATTCCCCAAGCACCACTGCCAGAGCCGGAAGCTACGAGCTGCGTCGCTGCAGTGCACCGCTACGCTTCTCTCGCCTACGTCAGGACGCTGCCCAACCACATTTCCACCGTCAGACACCACCACCACCACCATCATCGACGTCCTATCGGCCTCCCGTAGGCCAGCGCTGCGGTACTAAGAGGACTGACGTCTGGCACGCCACTGACCACCGCCCGCTGTGCTACCACTGCGGTGAGGCCGGCCACAGGTACTCCCACTGCCGGTACAGCGAAATGGGTGTACGTGGCTTTGCCATCGACGTGCCGCGTCCACAGCGGGCGAAAGACCACATAACTACGCCGGCTACCTCGCCGGAACGCAAAGGACATTTCAAGGATCTTCTCGTTCACCTTCACCAGCTGCTACATGTTATCGCACCGTCTAAATTTACTGGCCCAAGCCGGGGATGGTCGCCTAGCCCTTATTAGGAAAACTAAGGGCAGCGACCGATGGAGATGCGGTTGCTGCACAACAAACTGCCGAAGGTACTCCGCAGATGACGATGACCCCACAACGAAACTTCAAGAACCCGCCGTCACCTCAACGTAGTCCTCACGTCTAAACTTCGCGAGCATAAAAAGCCTTGAATACGCAACTTCGAAACAGTGGTGGGAATCGTCGTAGCCGTGATCCGACGCCGCAACCCAACGGACAGGTGATGAACTAGCGACCTCGACATTCTCATCAACGGCCACAGAGTCACAGCTCTCGTCGACACCGCAGCTGACTATTACGTCATCAGTGGGACTACGCCGCGAAGTTAAAGGAAGTTAGGACCACTTGGGAAGGCCCTGAAATCCGTACAGACGGAGGTCACCAAGTAACATCAGCGGGAATCTGCGCAGCCAGAGTGACCATTCCCAGCCGTATTTGTCCCGCAAGCTTCGTCGTATTGCAGAATTGCTCGAGAGATGTCATGCTTCGACTGGAATTGACTTGAAGACAAAGTGGATAACACTATCCACAGAAAAAGCACTACCGCCACGCACGCCCTCAAGTAGCCGTGTCCTGATTGTGCTGGAAAAAGAAGTCACCGTTCCTCCTCGCTCAAGCGACTGCATTTCCGCCGGCACCCCAAAACTAGAAGAATACGAAGGCGTCGTTGAAAGCAATTAGCCCCAATTTCTCAACCGCAATATTTGTGTTCCAAGAGAAATCACTGAGCTACGAGGAGGAAAAGCAACAGTTATGCTTACGAATTTCAGCAACTAGTACAAACTCGTGAAGAAAGCTACAACGGTCAGCTACATCGACGAAATTATGAAAGCCATCAATGCTTTCACCCTCGCCGATTCTGCAGGACCTACTCCGTGGAACGAAGCTCCTCGCCCAACTTTCTACGTCAATCTGAGCTTTTTGAAGCATATGCAAGAACACCTCAAGGCCCTGCTCCCGCAATACAAGGACTGCTTTTCGTTGTCGTCAAAAATACGCCAGACCGCTGTCGCGAAATATCGCATAATAACACAGGAAAACGCCAGACCACTACGGAAGAGTCCCTACAGAGTTTCGATGCGAGAACGTGAGGCCGTTAAAAGACAAGTCGATGAAATGCTACGTTATGACATCATCCAACCGTCTGAGAGTCCGTGGGCGTCACCCGTGGTGTTAGTGAAGAAGAACGGAACCCTACGTTTCTAGGTTGCTTATTGGTGCCTCAACAAAATCACAAAAATTGTTTAGGCTTTCCCACGTGTAGATGACGCCCTGAATCGACTCTAAAACACGAAGTGCTTTTCGTCGATGAACTTTAATACTGGCTACCGGCAAATCAACGTCGACAACAGAGATCGAGAAAAAACGGCGTTTATAACACCAGGTGGCCTCTTCGAGTTCAAAGTTATGCCCTTCGGTCTTTGCTCGGCACCAGCGACTTTTCAACGCGTTATGAACACAGTGCTGGCCGGATTGAAGTAGCAGGCTTGTCTCGTTTACTTGAAAAATGCCGTCGTGTTTTTCCTTAAGCTTCGACGAGCATCTTCGGCGTCTTTAAACTGTACTTCAAGCCATCAAGACTTCTGAACTCACCCTAAAACCAGAAAATGCCGCTTCACGTACGAGGAACTTTAGTTTGTGAGCCACGTGATAAGCGAATCCGGAGTAAGACCCGATCCGAAGAAGACAGCCGCTATATCAGCATTTCCGCCGCGCGTAGTCAAGAAGGCCGTGCGCAGGTGTCTCGGAGTTTAGGCGCTTCGTCAGGTGTATCGTCAGAAACTATGCCCACATCGCCGGGCCTCTCAATAACCTTACGAGGACTGACGTCGTGTTCCCGTAGAAAACCCCACAGGAGGAAGCATTTGGGGAACTAAAACGATCACTGAAGATGCTTTTGATACTCGCGCATTTCGGTGAACACGCCGAAGCAGAAGTGCACGCTGACGCAGGCAGCGTAGGACTCAGCGCCATCCTTGTGCACAGGACCGATGAACAGGAAAGGGTCATTAGATACGCTTGCTGGTCACTATCCAAGGCAGAGAGCAATTATGCCACAACAGAAGAGAAGTGTCTTGACATCATCTAGGTGACATCAAAGTTTAGTCCTTACCTCTTTGGTTGCCTCTTCAACGTTGTGAGTGACCACCACGCCTTGTGTTGGCTAGCTAACTAGAAGGACTCTTCAGTTCGCCTTGCGCGATGGAGCCTGAGACTTCAAGAATACGTTACCATCGTTTACAAGTCCCACAGAAAACACTTCGACGCCAACTGATTGTCGCGAGCCTCCGTCGACCCACCGCGGCTTGAAGACCTGAATGATGACCGTTTCTTGAAAACGATAACTGCCGACGACATCGCTGAACGCCAGTGGGCTAACCCCGAACTTAGGGACTCAATCGAATGCATTCAGGGCAGGACTTTTGTTGTTCTGAAGATATTCGAACGGGCATTTACGTCGTGTTTAGTGCGAAATGGCGTTCTTCAAAAAAAGAACTTCTCACCGCTTCGAGCCAAGTACATTATTGTGGTGCCTTCAGCTGTGCGACCAGAACTACTCCAGGCCCTGCGCAATGATCTTACGGCAGGGCATCTTGGTATTTCGCGCACGCTCGAGAGGATACATGAAAGGTACTACTTGCCGCGCCTTACCGCCGAAGTCACTCGTTACGTGAGGACGTGCCGAGACTCAGCGACGAAAGACACCGCCGACAAGGCCAATAGGCTTTCTTCAGCCGATTGAACCACCTCGCCGACCATTCCGACAAATCGGAATGGACCTACTGGGGCCGTTTGCAACGTCGAATTCGGGAAACAAATGGATCGTCATAGCTACGGACTATCTGACCCCCTACGCCGAAACAAGGGCCCTACCGAATAGTAGCGCTGGAAAAGTAACCAAGTTCTTCCTTGAGAATATAATACCTCGTCATGACGCCCTAAAGGTTGTCATCGCCAATACGGCCATTACTGCTTATTTCACTCAAGCGATCTTGATACATAGCCAGACAAGCCATCGCCGCTCCCCCGCCCACCACTTAAAGACAAATGGCCTCGCCAAGTGGCTAAACAAGACAATAGCCGACATGCTAGCCATGTATGTCGACGTCGAACACAAGACGTGGGATGCCATCCTTTCTTGCGTAACCTTAGCATACAACACCACCATAAAAGAAACGACGCGAATGACGCCATACAAGTTTGTCTAAGGAAGGAACCCGACAACGACGCTCAACACCATGCTGTCAAACGTCGCTAATGAAGAAAACCTCGACGTCACCACCTGCCTCCAGCGCGCGGATGAAGTTCGTTTGCTCGCACGCCTGCGCATATAGAATCGGCAGGTAGCCGACAGCCGCCGTTACAATTCTTCGATGAAGCTGCGTGGAGTACCAGCCCGGTGACTGTGTCGGCGTATGGACGCCGATACGCCGACGTGGACTCAATGAAAAGGTCCTACGACGGTACTTTGGACCGTACAGAGTATTTCAACGTTTGGGACTACTGGACTACAAGGTTGTTCAAACGGCATTACTAACTCCCAACGGCGCCGTGCTCGGCCTGAAGTTGTCCATGTAGTGCGCCTCAAGCCATTTCATGGGCAAACCTGAGGACTGTCTTTTGTTGTTTCTACTGTGCTTTATTGCTTGTACTTTTTGTTTATTGTATTTATTATTGTATCTTCGTCTTTTGTTAATGGCCAACTCCGGCGATTTTTCGAGGTCAATGAATCTCAATGAAATTCGTTGGGTACAATTTTTGAACATTTCCGACATTTATGCCAAATTACAGGCTTCAGAGTTGCGTTGATTGTTTGACAATAAATTTTAAAAATTGCCTCAAAACATTTACCTTCCATGCCACAATTACTGGCAGCACTGTCTGTGTGACGTCATGTTGGGCATGTCAACCAAAGTGACGCAGCTGATCGCATCGCTTCTTCGGCCACTACAGCGTTTCTTTTGCAGTCCACAAAGATACGGCGTTGGTCTTTTACCCGTATATAGCACGGAAAATCTTTCTTGCTTCCTTTGTGGTGTGTGGCCGGCGCTTCGCTAGTCTGAATTTCCCAGCTTTCATACTACGTGCTCTCGGGACCAGCATACCACCTCCCGTTCTTACCAAAGAGTACGTCATATACAGACAAGGCGCCCGGTCAGGTTTCGGTTTCGATTTAGCACATTTTGCCTAATAAAAATTATTTCCAAATTTCATGA